TTCCTGGGGAAGATAAATAAACCAAAGGAGATGGATAACCTGCAGCAAACATCTCCCATAGATAGTCTACAAAGGAACCAAGGGTTGATTGCACAGGTCACATTTTCAAATGGTTTACTAGCTGAAAGGTTGGCGGTTCAAACCAACCCAGAGATGCCTTGGAAGACAGGCCTGGCAATCTGCTTTTGAAAATCCTATGGAAGTTTCTACTCTGCAGGCGAGTCAGAACTGACTCGATGGCAACTAACAACAAGAGGCCCCTGAAAACTTCTTGATGGAACAAGCTTAACAATGGAAGAGAACATGACAATCATTGTCATCTTAACTTCCTTTTACCTACTATGTGTGCCAAGAACTGCGCTTCATAATACTATTTCCGATCCTCACAACACCCTAGCAAAGTTGGTATTATTATAAACTGTGGTTCATATAATGTAAGTAACTCCTGTCTGCTTGGCCTCTAGGGAACACACAGTTGGGTCACACAGTTGGGACATTTTCATCAGGAGGAAAAGGAAACTAATCATAAGGATAAAAAGGTAACATACTTCATTTACAAGCTGGAGAAGCCTCCCTCACTATAGTAAAGTCCATGCTTGAAGGAAGGAAGGAAAGAAGAAAGGAAGTAAAGGAGGGAGGGAGGGAGGGAGGAAGGACACCCAAAAAATTATTTTTCACAATGGAAATCAATGAGGAAGAAATCAACTGAGAACAAAATGCAATAATATCAACTTTCTTACCTTCATACATCACTCAACTTGACCGAAGTTCCACCCACTTCTAGTCATCAGGTTACTTCATACATAGTCAAAAGAATGCAATGAAGGAGAAAACCACATGACCACAACTTCAGCAAAGTTACTCTCTAGGCTTACTCTTGTGCCTGAGGTCAGTTCATAGAGATGCAAATACTCCACACCCTGCTTCTCTGTGGAAACCAGGAGGGCAGAAGACGAGGAACAGAAGAGGCTAAGTCACTTGTATCCCCAAATAGACTGGTACCTCTTTACCATCAGTTAATGTGTATATTTTAGGAACACAAACTCCTGCTTACACCAAACATGTATGAGTTAAACATAACTAGAAAGACTATTCTGAATCCTTGTCCTTGATCAAGCAGTGCATCCTCAAGCCAAATTAGAATCAGCATATTAGCCATTATTCTGTTTTATTCTAATACTACTCCCTCGTGTGGAGCTCCTGGGTGATGCAAACAGTTAACGCACTCGTCTGCAAACCAAAAGCCTGGCAGTTCGAGCCTACCCAGAGGCGCCTCAGAAGAAAGGTCTGGTGATCTACTTCCAAAAGATCAGCCATTGAAAACCCTATGGAACACAGTTCTACTCTGACACTCATAGGGTTTACTCCCTTGTATAACCATGGATAATTGAGAGTGAACTATATAATTAATCACTCAGCTGGGATTGCTCTAAACACAACACCAGGTGTGATGGGCCCACATGGCAGGCATGTGGACTCCCTATAAATAAGTGTGGCAATCTTACTTTTCGGGAGGGGGATAAGGGATATAGGAGGAAGAACAGTAAGCCAGTGACTAATAATTGGCTATTTATCAGGTCATAACTTGAACTTGTAAATGGAAGTATCACTGTCTCTATTACATTAATTTTTATAAAAAAACCCTCTACAGGGGCTCAGGAGTCCCTAGGCATGTGCACTCTCTATAAATAAGTGTGGCAATCTTACTTTTCGGGAGGGGGATAAGGGATATAGGAGGAAGAACAGTAAGCCAATGACTAATAATTGGCTATTAATCAGGTTGTAACTTGAACTTGTAAATGGAAATATCACTGTCTCTATTATATTAATTTTTATAAAAAACCCTCTACAGGGGCTCAGGAGTCCCTAGGTGGCACAAATGATTAAGTACTCAACTACTAGCCAAAAGGCTGGTGGTTCTAACTTACCCAGAGGTGCACTGAAAGACAAGTCTGGCGATGTACTCTTGAAAGGTCACAGCCTTGCAATCCCTAGGGAGCACAGTTCTCCTCCAACACACGAGGTTGCCATGAGTCGGAACTGACTGGAAGCAACTAAGAATGATGATGTAGGAGCTCAAAGCATGGTCCTCTGATGTGTTCAACATGCTCACAAGGTGACTCTATTAGGCCTGCTTTAGAGGTGAGACAGCTGAGGTCCAGAGAGGGGCAAGGCTCCCCCAAAGCCGCATGGTCAGCTCAGCCTAGAGTGCTTAGGGTCCAGCAAGAGCTTTCAGTGGAAGCATCAGAGGTTCTAAGGAAACTCAGCAAGGATGATGTCTTCGGACTAAAGGAGTTAGACCAGGCAGGCAGCCTCAACTACCTTTCACTCAGACTAGAGGAGGCCTTGACATGGTTCCTCCCAGAACAGCTAATTTCATCCTTTCTGAGGTGGGGACTTCTAGGTTCCCTCTCATACACTGGTGAGGCACCGCCTGGGAGTGATGGTATACGTACAAACTAAACTTGTCTGTTTACCCTTTCTTTTATGGAACCGAAGAATCCATGCAATAACTTTAAAATACTGCTTGAAAATACTATTCTAAGTAGGCAAGGGCTTCGTGACTATTTCCTCTAATATGCTTAACATTTAAAATGCTCTGGATTCATTCCATCTACCAAGTGTTCTTTACCAGGGACAAGCTGACCCTCCACTGGACGATGTCTTAGTTATCAGTGCTGCTATAACAGAAATGGAGCTCTGGTGGCACAGTGGTTAAGAGTTCAGCTCCACCAGCCACTCCTTGGAAACCCTATGAGGCAGATCGATTCTGTGCTATAGGTCACTATGAGTCAGAATCGACTTGACAGCAACAGGTATACGGGTATAACAGAAATAACACAAGTGGACGGCTTTAACAAACAGAAATTTATTCTCTCACAGTCTAGTAGGCTAGAAGTCTGAACTCAGGGTGCCAGCTCCAGGGAAAGACTTTCTCTCTCTGCTGGCTCTGGGGGAAGGTCCTTGTCATCAACCCTTACCTGCATCTAGGAATTTCTCAGTGCAGGTACTCTGGGTCCAAAGGACATGCTCCGCTCCGTGCTCTTCTTTCTTGGTGGTAGGAGGTCCCTCTCCTCTCTGCTCGCTTCTCTCTTTTATATCTCCACAGAGACTGACTCAAGGTACAACCTAATCCTGTAGATTGAGTCTCACCTCATTAATATAACTGCCTCTAAGCCTGTCTCATTAACATTATGGAGGTTAGGATTTACAATACATAGGATAATCACATCAGGTCACAAAATTGAGGACAACCACACAATACTGGGATCATGGCCTAGCCAAGTTGACACACATTTTTGGGGGACACAATTCAATCCATAACAGAGGAGGACATTTGGCAATGTCTGGAGACACTTGTGGTTGTCACAACTGGGATATGCCACTGGTATCTAGTAGGTGGAGGCCAGGGAAACCACGAAAGATCCTGTGACAAGACAGCATTATGGGGCCCAAAATGTCCACAGTGCTGTTGTGAAGCCCTGCCATCGATCCTGTCAAAGCCAGAAGCAGGAAAGCAGAGGGTATGCAACTCACTCTCTACCCCTTTCTGGTACTATGAAAAAAAAACCCAAAAACCAAATCAGTTGTCACTGAGTTGATTCTGATTCATGGTGACCCCACGTGTGCAGAGTAGAACTGCTCCACAAGGTTTTCAAGTCTGTGGACTTTTATAAACAGATTGCCAGACCTTTCTTGCAAGGTGCTTACGGTTGGGTTCGAACTGCCAACCTATTTGTTACTAGTTAAGTGCTTAACCCTTTGCGCCACCCAGGAACTCTGGTACAGTGAAAGGCCTCTCATATTCTGGCTTTAAAATAACAACCAAAAAAATTCCCATTGGATCAGCCAGTCTTCAACGTGGTTTCTTTTCTTAAAGAGCAGAGGCAAAATGCTTCAGGCTGACGGCTGGACTGCAGAGTCAGGGCACAGGACTCCTTTTCTGGGGTTCCTCCTACCTGTGGCTCAGTGTCCCCCACCTCTGTAAATGGGGGATAACAAACTCTTTGCTGAGCTCTCAGGATCTGAGAGTATTCAGCAAGCTTCCCCAAGAAGGGGCTAAAAACACTGCTATACGTGCAGTGTGTGGGATAGGTTATGGGGTTCTCTACCAGCAGTGGTCAGCCCACAGGGTATTTACTTGAATCTACTCCTGACCAATTCATTTCAGAAGCACCTGAGGATTTTAATAAACACAATACTCCAAATAGTCTTAGAATCAGAGACAACCCAGTCCTGACTGGCAGCTCCCCAAATCTTCTCTCTCATTACTGATTTTTATTGTCTAGCTCTAGTAGTTAATAATTATGTTTAAAGACTATTAGAGCACTGAGAAATTGTGCTTTTAGAAATGTCATTTCTTCATTTTTAAGGAGAAAATTTAATCACTGCAAACTAGCATTCTAATAAGTCTTAAAAAATGCAGGCTAAGATAATAAGACTGGGGATGAAGATTACAGGTCTTTCTTAAAACGTGGAGATGAGACAAGCGTAAAGATGAGACAAGAAAGGAGCTGATGGGCAGTGTCTCCCACATTCGCATCTAAAAGGAAAAAGGCATGGGTGGGAGTGCAGGAAAGTGGAGCAGAGGACCTTTTGAGTCTGGGTCTGACTGTCCTAGATGCCCATATGGTGGGAAAATCAGCATTAGAAGGGTCGTCTCCCCTAATAGGTCCACCTGCAGCCAGAGCTGAGCTTAGCAGCATGTGGAAGAGACAACCTGGGTACCCAAGGAGCAAGTACCCGTCGCACAGTGACACGGGAGGGACGGTCTCTTTCATCCTCAATCATCCCACGTCCTCGCCGTGCGCTGTCACATCTGGCAAGGATGGCGGTCACGCAGGGAGTCAGCACGAGCGTGACTTGTAGCAGGGCCCAGGCCTCAGCATGCAGCTGACAAGGGGGCTCTGACAGGCTTCCGGGGCTGGGACCCAAGACACCCCTCCGCCCCCATCTCGGTGCCTGGCCCAGCTACTTTCTGCTGCTGGCGTCCCACTCACCGATCTGCCCAATAAACTCGATCTTGATGCCCTGATGCTCCAGCCGCTTGTTGGGGTTCTTGAGCACGAGGCTCACCTTCCCGGAGACCGTCTCCCCGTCGTAGAAGAGGAAATACTTCTCCTTCTTGCCGTCCTCCGTTTTGTGCTCGGCCCGCTTCCTGCTCTCTGCATCGCTCAGCAGGATCTCCACCTCCACGCTCTGTCCAAAGCCGAAGAAGCTCATCGCACCGCCGGCCGCGTTGGGCTGGGGCCAGTGTCAGCAAGGCTCGCTCCTCCTCCTTTCTCCTCCTCCTCCCCGGGTGGGCGCTGCGCTACGAGGGACCAGAGGGCTGGGTACTGCCTCCGGCTCCAGCGGGCCGAACCACAGCCCCGCTCTGCGCGCCCGGCCCGGCTAGGGCGCGGGCCCGTCGGGCGCACGGAGATGAGCTGCGCTGCGCGGGAAGGGGCTGGAGCGACGGAAACTGGACGCGGCGCCCACGGAGGCGCCCCCGTGGGCCGCCTGCCCCTGCAGCCCCAAACAGCCGGCGGCCGCGGGCGGACCAGCGTCCGCACAGTGATGCTGGCCCCGCGGCGGAGCGTCCCACACCCAGAGTCAGGCGGCACTGCGGGGCTGCCAAGCGTCGCAGCTGCGCGCGTCGGGCTGGGCTCAGGGCCAGGCAGCAGGACGGGCCTCCAGGATCCGGGCAGTGCGGCTCACCGTTGTGCTCCAGCAGCTACGCGGCAAGGGACGATCACCCGGTGGTCTAGGGTGCTATCTGACCGCAGACACAGGGATGCCAGCGCATGCGCACGGCCCTGCACAGGCGGGCCGGCCGGGAGTGTAGGCACTGCGCACGCGCAGTGGCAGCCCGCGGCGGGCCTCGCCCTTAGTCGGCGTGGTGGACGCGGCCTCCTCAGAGAATTTGGGCCCAAGTCCTATGAGATGAAAAGGACTGCAGGTGTTTTCTGAGTTCTCGCCTTTGGTCATCCCTTATCGTTTTAATCCCTCGTTGAACTGTCACCCATGTACAACGTCCCTTGTCCGAACGGGGTAAAGGTAGACCTTTAACATGCAGGGGAAATGTTGAGAGGGGGCAAAAGTTACAGTTAACTACAGGAAGTATCCCGTTTCGAATTTTCTTTAAAAATCTCATTTAACGAAAGCGAGGCGGTAAGGACGGTATTAGGCGTGCATACGTTAGCGCGTTTAAGACAAAGCTAAAAACCACCCATTAAACCTTCTCTCAGCCTGAGTCCGGTCCCGCCCCGCTCTCTGCGCATGCGGCAGAGGACCCAGGTGATTGGTCAATGGAATAAATATGGTTTGGCCGCGATGATTGGCTGGTGGGGAAATACCGTGTGCTCTGATTGGTCAGCAGAAAAATCTGGGAGCGCGCGCGGGAGCGAGCTCCGAAGTTGACTACCCGGAAAGCGAGTCGTGTCGCCAAGGCCATGGCTCTGCAGAGCCTTTGGGACAGTCTGCAGCCCTGGTGTCCTTTGCATCTCAGCGTGGGTGAGCTGACGGAGACGCAGGTCACGCGGGTAGGGGTGGGGGTGGGATGAGCGGCGCTCCTCTCAGCGTCGGCCCTCGGACCGCTCCTAGGTTCCGCCTGGGGTGGGTGGGTGGGTCGGTGTGTGTTTGTGTGTAAGAGAGGGGAGAGGAGTGCGAGGAGGGGAGCGGGCTGCCTGGTGTGTGTGTGTGTTGTATATATGGGTAAGAGAGAGGGGAGAGGGGTGCGAGGAGGGTGGCGGTCTCGGCTCCGCCCTGGGGGTGGGTGGGTGTGTTTGTGTGTGTGAGAGAGAGAAGGGGCTGGCTCGGCTGTGTGTGTGTGTGTGTGTGTGTGTGAGTGTGAGAGAGAGAGAGAGAAGGGGCTGGCTCGGCTGTGTGTGTGTGTGTGTGTGTGTGTGTGCGTGTGTGTGCGT